TATAGTTATTTATAATGTCTGATTTTTTTGACACAAGAAATTTATTACGTTGTATATAATTAATAACAATATTTCTGAATATAGAAACATGTACATTACTCTCCCAATGAGGAACTTTTATAATATTGAAATTAAATTCTTCTCTTTTATCATAAATATTAGAAACTATTACATTTTCATATAATTTGACATGTATGTCAAGAAAATTTGCTTCATTGTTGTTATTATTTGTCTGTATTAAATTAAGATATTGTGGATAAAAATTAATGTTAGGTATAAAATTGGCTTGTTTGCCAAAAATGATAATATCATCTATATAACGATAAATATAATATTTAGAATTATTAATGTAACTACTTTCAAAATAATGTAAGTATATATTTGCAAGACACTAAATCGCAGGACCGCCTTTTGTATATATATATATATATATATATATATATATATATATATATATATATACCTTATGTATAAATAAATTTATTACAACATCACGAAAAACTTCGTTTATATAAAGAGAGATTTAATCATGACCCCATCTCAATAAGGATAAAATTTTTGACTAGTCATATAAATTCTTCCTTTAAAATATTGTTGAATACTTATCTGTCCATTTTGGGATAGAAATTTTACAAAACAATCATGAATTGTTTGGAGTTGCATATTTTTTAAGCAACAAGCATGGAGAATTGAATTTTAATTACATTTTTTTAGTTACCTTGGCAATCGTATGATGGTTTATTCGTTTCATTTGCATGCTTTTTTTTTCAGCACAATATATTTTTTTAAGAAATCATACTTGTCTTCTGACTACTTATCTCTATCCCTTGTACGAAAATCAGTGGCGAATAATTCATTTTATAATCTGGAACAACATTACATTGTTACATTTACATTACCGTTTAACTGATTATTCAATATTTACAACAATTTACTTTAATTGTGGGAGTAGAATTCATCACTGTTTACTATCTCCTCCACCCCCGCCTTTCCTCAAAAAGCATTGTAAAAGAAATGCTGTTAGCAAAAAGAAACAATCAAGTACCATACGCGTACTTGTTAAAATATATAACCACAAATTTATTAGAAAATGAATTAAAAATTTCAATTTTTCTCAAGGGAGAAATTGTTTTAAGAAACTTATTAGAAAAAAAGTTCACATTTTGTTTTAGAAACATAATCTACAAATGTGTAATACGTAACTCACATTCGTATACAAATATAATATTAGGTTGGGTAAAAAGAAATCCCATCATTTTTTCGGTAGATGGCTGTAGTGTCGATATCTCGTGAAGTATCAATCAAACAATTTCAAATTCCTGCTCGTTCACACAAAAAAAATTATTTTGCTTTTTTGTTTTTGTTTGGTTCATTCAGTTGTGAGTTACAGGGTATTAAAAATGGAAGTCAACAAAGAGAAAAAATTCAGTACATTTTACAGTTCTTCTTTGATAAAGGCGAAAATGCAAGCCAGACGGTTGAAATTGTGAATGGTGTTTATGGTGCCGATACTGATTTAGCTAATTACGTACAATTTTGGTTTCGTCGATTCAGTTCAGGCATTTTTGATGTTAAAGATGCACCTCGCAAAGGCAAGCCCGTCGTCGAAAATGTCGATAAAATCACATAAATAATCGAATTTGACCGGCATGTTAGTAGTCGTAGCATCACCCAGGAGCTAAAGATCGACCATAAAACAGTTTTAAACCATTTGCACAAAGTTGGATTCAAAAAGAAGCTCGATGTTTGGGTGCCACATCATTTAACACCAAAAAACATGATGGATCGAATTTCCATCTGCGAAGCCTTGGACAAACGGAATGAAATCAACCCATTTCTTAAGAGGATGGTGACTGGGGATGAGAAAGGGGTCATATACGACAATACTGTGCGAAAACGATCGTGGTCAAAACGCGGTGAAGCAGCTCAAACGGTGGCCAAACCAGGACTAACATCCAGGAAGGTTCTACTGTGTATTTGGTGGGACTGTGGAAAGGAATCATTTATTAGGAGTTGCTTTCGTATGGCCAAACACTAAATTCAGATCTCTACTAAGAACAACTGGACCGTTTGAAGCTAGCGATTGACCAGAAACGGCCAGAATTAGCCAACAGAACAGATGTTGTGTTCCATCAGGACAACGCCAGGCCATACACGTCTGTAGTGACTCGCCAGAAACGCTGGGAGCTTGGTTGGGAAGTTTTAATGCATCCACCATATAGTCCGGACATGGCACCAAGGAATTACTACCTTTTTCTCTCATTGCAAAACTTCCTGAGTGATAAGAAATTGGGATCAAAAGAAGATTGACAAAATCGATTAATAGAGTTTTTCGCCAATAAAGACCAAGACTTCTATGAGAGAGGCATTATGAAGCTACCTTTAAAATTGCAACAAATTATGCAGCAAAACGGTGCATATTTG